CGTAGAGCTTCATACTTTCTTAGAGCTTCGAATAATAATAAAATGCTCTCTTGGAGCTTCAGAAAATAAAATGTTCTCTTAGAGCTTCATACTTTCTTAGAGCTTCGAATAATAATAAAATGCTCTCTTGGAGCTTCAGAAAATAAAATGTTCTCTTAGAGCTTCTAAAAATGAAATGCTCTCTTAGAGTTTTGGATATAAGATGCTCTTTTGGAGTTTCAGAAAATAAAATGCTCTCTTAGAGCTTATAAAAATGAAATGCTCACTTAGAGTTTCAGATAATAAGATGCTCTATTAGAATTCCAGATAATAAAATGCTCTTAGAGCTTCAGAAAATAAAATGCTCTCTTAGAGCTTCTAAAAATGAAATGCTCTCTTAGAGTTTCGGATGATAAGATGCTCTCTTGGAGTTTCAGAAAATAAAATGCTCTCTTAGAGCTTATAAAAATGAAATGCTCCCTTAGAGTTTTAGATAATAAGATGCTCTCTTAAAGTTCCAGATAATAAAATGCTCTTAGAGCTTCAGAAAATAAAATGCTCTTTTAGAGCTTTATGCTTTCTTAGAGCTTTGAATAATAAAATACTCTCTTAGAGTTTCTAAAAATGAAATGCTCTCTTAGAGCTTCGAATAATAATAAAATACTCTCTTAGAGCTTTGAATAATAAAATGCTCTCTTAGAGTTTTGAGCTCTTCCTTTAGGAATGTGGTCTTCAAGAGATCGCCTCTTCCTTTTTCAAGTTAAGACATCTTTAAAATAGTGCCTATTCATTCTTCAAGGAATGAGGTATTCAAGAGATCACCTATTCCTTTTTCAAGGAAAAACGTCTTCAAAATAGTGTCTCTTCCTTTCAGAATGAGGTCTTCATGTGCCTCTTCCTATTTCAAGGAAAGAGGTTTTCAAGATAATACCTCTTCATTTAGGAATGAGGTTTTCACGATAATGCCTCTTCCTTTTCAAGGAATGGGGTCTTCAAGAGATCACCTCTTCCTTTGTCAAGGAAAGAGGTTTTCAAGATAATACATCTTCCTTTATAGCCCAAATGATGCCTTTCATGCTAAAGTTCTGAAGCGTAGGCAAAGATGAGGCCTTTGTTGAAGAAGTACGGAAGTATGAGGCACTTGTTGATGAAGTGCTGAAGTATGAGGCACTTGGTGATGAAGTACTGAAAGATGAGGTATTTTGTCCCGAAGTGCTGAAGGATAAGGCACTTGTTGATAAAGTACTAAAGAATGGGGCACTTGTTGATGAAGTGTTGAAGGATGATGCACTTTGTCCTGAAGTGTTGAAGATGAGGCACTTTATCCCCAAGTGCTGAAGGATGAGGCACTTGTTGATGAAGTACTGAAGGATGAGGCACTTTGTCCTGAAGTGCTGAAGGATGAGGCACTTGTTGATGAAGCGCGGAAGGATGAGGCACTTGTTGATGAAGTGCTGAAAGATGAGGCATTTGTTGATGAAGTGTTGAAGTATGAGGCACTTGTTGAAATGCTGAGGCATAAGTAAGGATGAAGCCCTTGCTTGCTGAAGCATAGGCACAGATGATGCCCTTGCTTCCTGAAGTGCTGAAGCATAGGCAAGGATGAGGCCCTTGCTTGCTGAAGTGTTGAAGCATAAGCGAGGATAATGCCCTTGCTTGCTGAAGCATAGGCAAGGATGAGGCTCTTGCTTGCTAAGGCATAAGCACGAATGAGGCCCTTGCTTTCCGAAGCATAGGCACGGATGATGCCCTTGCTTGTTGAAGCATAGGCACGAATAAAGCCCTACATACTGATTTGCTGAAGCTTTCAGGGGTCATCCACTTCTTCAGCGGCTTCCCCTTTTCGGGGGCTCATCCGATTTAAAGCCACTTCTTCAATGGCCTCCCATTTTCAGAAGGTCTTACAAATGAATTTCTATCTTAGCATATTCACACTTTCATAGAATATTAGCACTCTAAGTACTGATCTCTTCTCCTAGTGTTTTTTCTTAGGGCTTCCATTTGTTCTTTTTCAAGGGTTAGAAAATTCCTTCCACTTCACTTCCAATTGGCTTCTTTCCAAGGGACTCTCATGGTTAAATGTATAGATTCCCACAGACGGCGCCAATCTGTTGACCCCAAAAAATGAGCTGAACAAATGTCGGGCCCACTCTTGCCACATCAAGTACGGATCCGACGCGTTTCTACCGTAACGGGAACGGTAGTCTAGCTGGAATGGACGCGGGAGGCACTTTCCGGCAAGAGACAAAAATGTTCGAACTCCGGCGATGTGATTAGAAGGTAACCACGCTATCAATGATCGCCAAGCCGAGATAATCAAGAATAAATCTCTCCCTTATAGTGGAATATGTGGATAGATAGATATAATAAAATGGTGTTTTGTGTTGGAATCTTGATATATTTGCTATTGTGTTTGCAAAATATGTAAAGAACAATATGTATAAATCTTCTTCAATCTCTCTATGTTTCACGGGAGTGAAAGTATATTTTTGTGCTTTGTTGTATGATTACAAAGATCCCAACCCCCTCTTTCTTTATAAAGAGAGCCTATTTATGCTATATTGGCCGAGGTGGTGACCATTGGATTAGAACCACGTGGCATCATCTCATTTGTTGGGACGTCACATCATTGTCCATTCATACAATTAATGCATTGATAAGGGGTCGCCGCTCTATACAATAGGCTGGCACACTGTCAAAACTTTATTAGAAATGTCACATCAATCATTCCTAAAAGATCTTCAAATCTATTACAAGAGACAGCGTCGGCTTCGTGAACTTCGGAAGAGTTGAGAGCCTCAGAGAGATCTTTGAGATGATTCCCTAAGTGGAGAGCCTCAGCTCCTTTCTTTGTTTTCTTAGGCAGTAGTTCAGCTCAGGTTTGTAGAGCTTCGTCCTTGAGGCAGTGCCTCAGGATGGACCCCAGCCTCAGTATGGACCTCGGTTTGTACCTCTTTAGGAACCTCAGTTAGTACCTCTTTAGGCACTTCGATAAGTACCTCTTTAGGCACTTTGGCTAGCCATTTGGGGAGCCTCGGTTGTACCTCTTTAGGCACTTCAGCTAGTCTCATTTTAATGGGATAACAGTTAATATGTGACCGATAATTTGNCAGCATGGACCCCGACTTTGGTATGGACCTCGGCCTCACATGGGCCTCGGGTTGTACCTCTTTAGGCACCTTGCTAGTCATTTGGAGAGCCTCGGCTAGCCAGTTGGGGAGCCTCGGTTGTACCTCTTTAGGCACTTCAGCTAGTCTCATTTTAATGGGATAACAGTTAATATGTGACCGATAATTTGTGACTTATAATACTTGTGATTTGTGACCAATAAATAAAATGTGACGTATAAATTTTTATTTGTGGTCGATGAAAAAATTGTGACGTATAAAATTTTTGAATTGTGAATGTAAAAAAATTTGTGATATATAAAATTTGTAATTTGTGATCGATGGATAAATTTTAACGTATAAGTTTTTGATTTGTGATCGATGAACAAATTGTGACGTATAAAATTTTTGAATTGTGATCGTAAAATAATTTGTGACATATAAAAATTGTGATTTGTGATTAATTAATAATATGTGACCAAATTATATGAAAATGTGAACTTAATATATTTAATTAATAAAATATACGTTTAATTAATTAATTTATAAATAAAATTTAAATTTTGACCCAAAACAGCCTTCTTGGGAGGTTATTCACGGCCACAGACAGAAGCACGTTCTATTAGTTTGCTTCTCAAAATTCTCAAACTATCAAGTCCCCTCTCTCTCTCTCTCTCTCTCTCTCTCTCTCTCTCTCTCTCGCACACAGAGACTGAAGGAGATGGAGACATGGGGAGTG